GCTTGGAAAAAGAGAAAACCCCGGAAAAGGTCGGCTTCAGATCTAAGCGATAGTGGTAACGATGAAAGATTACCAGAAATCAAGCATAACGAGAAAAAATCGTTTCTGTAAAAGCTTCAACTAATGATGAAACCACTCCATGCAGAGATTACAGATTTCTTTTGAGACATGTGCCCACATCAATCGCAGAACAGAACGTGATATGGATATATACCTAACAGTTTGAGTAACCAAGCTCAGGGAATTCTTGAGCTGTATCGAGTACATTTACTTAAGAGGAGACATAGAGCTAATGAGACACTGCATGAATTTGGCTAGGTTATTAATAAACTGTATACAAAGATTAATTAATCTGACTTACGCACATTTGAGATTAGTGTGAGAGAAACATTGGCCAAACAGCAGTTTATCGTCTCTTTTACTGGCTCAGATATGCGTATTTGTATAAAGCAAGCCAGGCCTGAGAATTTTACAGAAGCGATCCATCTGGCAGTAGAGCTGGAAGCTTACAAGAAAGCAGAAAAGCATGGAGATGAAGGTCACGCCTAGTACTGAGAGTCCTGAAAATACAACAGAAGTGGAGTTTACAAAATGAAATGGAATCCATGTTGAGTAATATCAATCAGAAATTGGAAATGATGCAGAAGGATAACAGCAAACTAAAGCAGCAATAAACGTCAAAATTAACCAGCTGGTCAAAAAGAAATGTGAAGAAGGCGAGCACTGGCAAACGTTGTAATAAATGTAACGAGACTGAACATTTACGTAGGGAGTTTTCTCAGCTGAAGACTGGATCCGATCAAAACTCACTTGGAGCAGCATCCCAGTGAAAATTCGAACTAGGAGGCGGAATTATAACAAATCAGCTGGAATTGGGATTTCATCAGCTGCTCAAGAAGCTCGGTTATATATCAAAGCTGAAGTAGAGAATACCAAAATAAAGCTATTGGTTAAAACAGGAGCTACTGTAACCATATTGTCAAAAGAGGCATATGAGAGAATTCCAGCAGAGAGAAAACCTTGACTACAGAAGGTTAAAAAGGACAAAATTGCCGCTAACCGAAGTGAGTTGGAAGTCCTTGGGCGTGGAACATTCATGATTAAACCAGAGGGGTGCAAGATGTCTACTTTGAGTGTGTTGTAGCCAATATCAGCACTGATGGACTTATTGGCCTAGACTTCCTGAAATTGGAGAATAGAATGATTGACTTAAAGAGGGAATCGTTGGTTTTGCTCGGTGGATAAGTTGACACGAAATATAAAGGTTCACTTGGTTGCTTTCAAATTTCAGCTGCTGCGAAGTTCATCATTCCAGCTAAAAGTGAGGTGATAATTCAAGGAAAATCTGTTCTCTAAGAAACAGAAATTCTCTTCTTATCGAAGTAGTGGACTCGTTCCTGAAAAATGACAATGACTCCAGAACAGAGCAGTAAGGCCAACGCTTTGTTGTTCAAAATGAAAATATGTTTGCAGCCAAAGATAGCGATGTTGTACAAAGGTTGTGAAGCACAAGATAGAAACAGGTGATGCTAGACCAATCAAACAACCACTCAGAAGGATACCAGTACATGCTGGACCGCGGAGTGATTCAAAAGTCTACTAGTCCCTGGTCGTCGGGCATTGATTTAGTTCAAAAGAAGGATGGAGGTCTAAGATTTTGCGTTGATTATAATCGTCTAAATGTAGTGAGAAGTCATGATGTGCATCCATTACCATACATTGATGAGGCATATGAGCATCTGTCAGAGTGTGCATGGTGTTCTGCACTGGGCCGTAATTCAGTGTATTGGTAGGTTGAGCTGGAAAGGGGGATCGTCTGAAAACTGCCTTTTTAACAAGGACTGAACTCTATGAGTGAGTTTCGTGTGATGCTATTTAGATATACATCCACGCCAGCGGCTTATCGAGACAGCACTAGCAGAAATCCAATAGCAATTTAGTCTCATCCATCTTGACGATGTAATTGTGCTAGAAAAGACGTTTGAGGACATGCTACAAAATAAGTCAACTGTGTTCGAAAGAGTTCTGGATGCTGATATAAAGCTTAAGACAAAAACATGCTTACTGTTTGCGAAAGAAGTGACCTATATCGGGCAAGTGCTATCCTAGAATGGGATAGCCACAGATAGTGAAAAGGTATAGATAGTGTAGCAGTGGCCTGTATCAACCAATATCAAGGAGTTGAGATCGTTCCTAGGATTTTGTGGATACTACAGGAAATTTGTATGAAACTTTTCTGGAATTGCAAGTTGTCGTTTTGACGGTGTAGTATTTTTTACCGTCTTATCAACAGGTATGGCCATTTAAGGACGGTCTCCCCTGTGTGCAAGATGCATGCGTGTAGTGTATGTGTGTGTGTTTTGGGAGGCTGCGATATGTTCGTGTTTGTCTCCTTGTGATTGCGCGGAACTGATGCCAACTTTAAAGTGTTACCTCACTGAAACATACTGTCGAATACCCTAGCAGGTCAACCCATCCTGTCACAATATACTGACAATGGGCGAATCAGTTGTCCCACTCCTAAATTGCTGAGTGTTAAGCAGGAGTAGAAACTTCCATACTCGGGTATATCCTGCCTGTGGACAGAACCTAAAGCCTTCCTCACAGGGGCGAACGCTCAACCAAATGCCAAAAGTGAGGCATTGTCAAGGGAGACATTAGGAAGAAGAAAATTGTTTAGAAAAAAATGAAAAGATAAGACCACAAACTTAGTCGCCTCTTACGATCATGCAATGAGGGCAGCAGGAATAATTATTACGCCCTACCTGCAGGGACTTTGTCTACATGAACTGACTTAGATGGACAAAAGAATCAAATTAACTTAAGTATTGTTAGGTCGGTGGCACAGTGGATATCGAACGCGCTTTTCATCAATGCGGCAGGGGTTCGATTCCCCGATCGGACGTGAAAAGGAATGGGGTCACCTGCCCAATTACGTGAGTTTATCTCCGGGTACTCCGGTTTCCTGCCACATTAAGACCCCAAGGTTGCTAACATCCGGGCCAACAAGAGTGATTAATATAAGTTTGTATAACTTGTTTCATAATTGTTATAAAATTAAAAAAAGTTTAGATTGTATACTTAAGTCTGTCAGGAGACTTTCGAAACACTAAAGCAATATTTTTTAATCAGTGCTCCAATACTCGCAAACCCAGACGTCACACAACCTTTCACCTACGAAACCGATGCAAGTGATAAATCAATCGGTACAGTTTTATCTCAAAAGACAATGGCAGTGAAAGATCTCTTGCGTATGCAGGAGGTGCACTTACCTAATCCGAAAAGCGATACTGTGTTACGAGAAAAGAGTTGTTTGCGGATGTCCACTTTGTTTCTACCTGAACGACAAGGGGCCACAGTTCATTACGTTGGCTTCTAAATTTTAAGGCGCCAGGAGGGCAGATGACAAGATGGCTTCAACTAATGAGCTCCTATAACACGGACGTTAAGCACATACAAGGAAATCAGCACAGTAATGCTGATGAATTGAGTCGGATACCCTGCAGACAATGTGGGTTTGTCCCGATGTGGGAGAATAACAAAACAGGTGACAGATGGCATCCAGCAAGGTGTTTTTAAAAGAAGGTGAGAATAAAAAGGAGGAGCTGTCGCTTTAACAGAAGCAGAAAAGGATACTGACATTGCAGCGTTAATGGAATAGGTGAGAAAGGACAGAAACCTCCATACAAGAACTTTTGTGACCGGCACATAATAGTGAAGACATTATGGGCCAAGTTTGAACCCCTGGTGATACATGAGGACATATTTTATCGGGAAAAAAAACATACAACTCTACAGGCAATTGTACCAACAGGTGAAAGACGAACGGTGTTGACACCACGTCATGACAATAGGAGCTCTGGGCACCTTGGGATGAAGAAAACGTTGGTCGATATTGGCCAGAGTTATTATTGGCCATGTCTTCCATCAAATGTCAAAAACTACTAACGAGCACCGATGTATTTAGTTAGTGGAGTTAGGCTTTTTTATGGAAAGGGTAGCAATTGATATTCTTTGCGAACTCCCAAGAACAAAGATGAGTAACCGATACATCTTTATGTTATCCGATTATTATACTAAGTGGACAGAGGATTTTGCAATGCCAGATATGGAAGCTCAAACTGTTGCCAAAGTGCTTGTTGAGGAGGTGATATCTAGGTTTGGTGTTCCTTACAACATTCATTCTGATCAAGTTTTCAACAGTTTGAAAGTTCTCTGTTTAATGAGATGCGTTTACTTCTACAAATAAACAGGACGCATACCACTCCCGATGATAGAACGGTTTATCAAGACACTTGTAGCCATCCTTAGTGCCTTCGTGAACGGTCATAAGACCGATTGTGATGAACACTTGCCATATGTGATGATGGCGTACCGCTCTACGGAAACAGCATGATGTTTGGAAGGGAAACAAGAACTCCGTTGGACATTCAAAACGAGATGCCAAGGAATGTCAAGGCCATTCATCTAGGTCCGAAACGTTACCATGACCAGATATTGTCTTTGACTGAATTCAAGGCTTTTGATTCGGTATACTAAAAATAGAATAGGCTTTACCGCAGCTAAACGAAATATATATAAATATGTATGTTTTTACTTGAAGGAGGTACCAAAACGTCCTAGATAGTACTTTCGTTTGTGCATCCATCGTAATATCAACCATAGTTTTTAGTGCTAAAATCTTATTGTCATGGATAGCTACTCAAAACATCATGTTTCCTTCTTATGAGTTTTGGCGTTTGCCAAAATATTTTAGATTGGAATTTTGATAATACTAATCATTTTGACGTATACTAATTGTGAGTATATAAATTGCAATTCAATATCGTAAATTCTCAAATTTACAATCAAACACTGGATAAGGAAATAATTAGCAACATATCAATAGTTATTGAATACCGCTTTAAGTATATGACTTATAACGTTCAGGTACGATATTATCAATGTACTTAGATGCCGTTCACTTTGTCAATGCAGAAATAAATATATTTTACACTTACCTTTACATAACATGTTTAATGTGTCCCCACATCTCTTCAACATCAATGTTTGACAGGTATCCGACTCGTTTGCAGCAAGGCATCTGCCTTTCGATAAATTGCTACTTATTTCCCGAGTCACTGTAGAGAACAATTTTCTCGAATGATTATAATTGACATTAGGACATTTACCTAATAAACGAACACGTTACACCTATTATAGCTGTGGCGTTGCCTACATCGATACATCACAACTGTTTGTTAAGAGCTAGCTGTAACTGCCAGAGTAACAAAACAACACATTTGTAGTGATATCACGTAGTTTATAGCAATACAAGCTTTCATTGTGATAACCACAAATACATGTTTGTGTACACACACCTACAAACACACAAACACAAGCACACACATTTAACTGTTTCTTGTGCATTCCTATAACTTTGCAATGTCAGGAAATTATGACATGTATCATTTGGTCATTGTAAGTTGTATAACCAATCATATATGTTTCTGTGTTATTTATATACATTATAGTATACCTGTTTGAAACACTGTCTTTGCCTCCGTATTTCGAATGTTGAGAGCTGCTGGTTTCTGTAACATCGGTATGCAGTCAGTATCATTTGTCGGTGTATACGATTCGTTCAAACAGTGGCAGAAGCTACCCTGATTTAAGAAGATCATTTTCTCATGAAGTACACTACTTTACAATAAATAATATTGTAATGATATATTGATTTCGATTCCTCATAGCTATAATTTGGAAGATGATAAAACTATTCATAACATTTTAAGTAATTGATAAATCATGAGTGGTGCTGGATAATCCAGTGACATCACTGCTAGTCAAGGACCGAAGGCTAATCAAACACAAATAAGTGATTTAACCCACATTTGTACTTTTAAACTCCTACATAATGACAGGTATATGAATGTATCTTCATGTATGATGAGACCCTGACAATGGTTAGATATTATATGAATGGGCTATGGATAAAACTGACACGTCTTTAGTTACCCCTGGAATGTTGAAATTGCTTGGTATGATTTTCGGGCTGTTAAGTCATCAATGCATTCATTATAATGAACATCAATCAAAATGTAGTGATAATCAGTGTTTTCATTGTTTTGATGTTTGAATGTGGGATAAAATATTTCAAAAAAGGCTTGTTGCCAAAAGCTATGATTTGAAATTACCATTTTATGAAGCAGGCAAATATTACAGAAACATGCTCATTTGATTAGTCGTTTGACATTCTTTAAGAAAGGAGTATACCTGCTGTTGTAAGACATGCAATCTGGAAACGTATACCAGTTTATTTCATATTGTTTGTGCAACTCTCGGATTTTCGATGTCTACTAGAATTTTACTTACCAGGACCAGTTTCATCAAGCATTTTCTTCAATGTTACTTTCTCTATTTGTATTTTTAATGTAATGAATCTTTATGTGTTGGAGTCCTCTGCAACTGTTTGAATTGTTCGAATATCCCACTGCTGGGTAAGTAGTGGTCTTTTTATATATCCAATGCACTACATTTAATTTATACAATTAGCAACACAAAAGATGAAAGTTTTTGTTTAATACAAATGAGATGCAATCCTGACACAAACAAGTCTGTGATTCAGTCCACTTTATGTAAACGATATCTCATTGACCTTATCTATTTACATTCTGGGCTGTTTGCACCTCAGATATTACATGTATTAGAAGTTAAAAAAAAAATTAATCTGAGACAGCATAATTTTCGTACATGCTTAGTTAATGAGGTGTTTAATTTTAGATTGGCACGAGAAATTAAACATTTGCGAATGATGCAATGTATTTTCAATCCACTGCAGTGAATTAATACCATAATAAATGTGAACATAATAGGTGGATAACCATCAAATGAAACCAGAGTTTGAAATGGTAGAAAACATATGAGCACACTTACCCTAGTGGCAAACGTTGTGGTACCACACAGAGCCTGACACTGTGCCGCTGTGTCTAACCAGTGTAACCCATCGGGGAGGACATACTGCGTGTTGCCTGTGTCGTTGGTACAATCTGGTAATGGCACAACACACATATAGGTTTTATTGTCATTTTACCTTATGATGTTGTTGTTGGTTGTTTTGGTTTGATATGATTTGTACCTGTGTATATATCAAATATTGTTGATTGTATTTGAGTTTTTTTTTTTTTGTTGTTTTGTTAATTGCTTGGTATATTGTTTTTGCTTTGTTTTTGTGTTTTAAATACCAATAAAAGGTGATGTTGGTTATGTGTTTTTTAAAAAAAAATATTGTGTTGTTACGTTTTGTGTGTTGTTATCGTAACGATAAAACGAAAATTGACAGAAAATACACTATGGAGCGATGTAAAAATAACATCATTAGATTTATTCAGTACATATGGTAGTTTTCGTATGTGTTTAAGTTTTCTTGGTATAAACGTGTGCAATACAATTCTTCTAGATTTAAACTTTGACGCAGTCTCTAAGGGCGTCGACGGTTTGCTTGGGGTCATACAAAAAACCAGAAGAATATTTTGCCCGGTCAAATCCCTCACCGGTACAATTTAAAGATTGGCACAGTGGTGATTTCGCCTTTTAATTGTTAATGCTTACATGGTGTCCTTTGTATTTGTATTTCATGTCGTGATAAATTCACCCTCATAACTGAAGGCGAACAAGACGAAATATACTGTGGCGAAAACTTCCCAGTATACAGTTAATCCTGACATTTGATGCCTATTGCTGATCGGACCAACATTGAAAGTGTAAATAAGTTAATCCAGTGGTACCATAGTTTTATTATCCTTTCTTTTCATTGTTATTGCTGATGATTCTGGTATTTTAGGTGTATGGATTTTTTTTTTTTTTGTTATGGTCAAAATTGTTAAAAAGATTTGTACAACTATTATGAAAAAATGACAAAAAAAAAACAACTAAAACAAGCAAACTTCTTGACATTCTTGACTGTAGTCTTTACAACTTTTGTAGTCAGATATGATGCGTATGTTTTAAGTTTCAGCAATTCAACATATGTCAATTGTATATAAAACACTTCCTTACGTGATTATCGCTGAAATCCTCGTCAGAACATTTTAATATACGATTGTTAAAATCCTTTTTAACCTCGTCACACTTTTTAACAATTTTGTTTTATTGGAATTTAGCGCAAGTGATTTTAATACAGCAGCAAACGGGTGAATAATTTCAATCACTAAATTCTTTCGAAACATTGCTGTTAACACAATCAATTTATATCAAAACAATATTAAGTGATTGCGACGCAAAATATAAGAAAGAATTTGAGAGAAGTCAGAATTATATATTTTTAAATCTGAATAAAAACATTTAAACTTGCAGGACTCTGGATACTGACAGGACTTACCGCAATTCTGTTACGAAGAGAATATGCAACCAAAACCTTTGGTCCGTAAATGTTTTTACACAAAACAGCACAATTGAATTTTGACCCCATACCGAAAACCGGAAGTAACTAGATTTTTTTGATAGACCCAGATGACAGAGAAAGTTTGCCCTTGTATATCTCTGTCATATCCAAAGATCAACTGTGAGCTTGATATCGTTGACAAAATATATTGATATAGGCTGTTAACCAATCAGAGCTCGTTGCGGCAATGTTGGAATTTTATTTTTAATTGCTCCAAAAATTAACAACAGTTCGTTAGGACCCCGAGAGAAATACATGTACTAAATTTGGTTAATATTGCACTAGCAGAATTGGAGAAGAAGGTCCTAGAATGATTTTCCACAAAACAGCACCTCAGAGACCATTTATTTCCTAATACTGTGATAAGTGTGGTAATTTCGATTTTCCTATCGTTACCTTTCCCTTAGCCTTTCTACAATTCAGTGTTGCTTGAAAAGCAATGAGATCGCCAGATGTGTTCCCTTTAACGTCACTTACACATGGATCCATCACTGAAATTGACCCGTGAATGACCGAGCTATCACTCTTAGTAACGATCACTCCTAGTGGATGTGTGTAGCTGCTGTCACATGATGTATCAGACCACAGGAATCGAGTAGCCAAGCTAACTGACGAGCATCAACATTAGATAGATCTTCTTACTGGGAATTTGGGTCATCCATGATAATAATCTCTTGTGGAACAACAACCTGGTGGTTCATACACAGTCTGAATTGCTTATCACCAGCGATGACAGAATAAGTCATGTTCTGAAAGTGTGCGTATGCATCATCATGGTTTTGAGAGATGCCTCACACTTAGGCCTTCCTTAAACAGAACAGCCACCCCACCACTACGTTTTCCGAAATTGCGGAGGAATTCATAGCTTGTTGGTATTAGCTCAGCTATTACCTGTTTGCTCATCGATATGTGAACTTAATAGTTAAGTAAGTCCGAATATGTGTAGAAGTCTCGCAAAGAGAATGCTTAATAATGTTGATTACTAATGCTTCTGTTTGAAAAAAAAATGGCTGCCATGTAAGACACACACACATGTTGGTGCTCTGACAAGAAAGTATAAACTTATGCTGTTATTTACAAGCTACAGTGCTAACTTTTGGCAGAAATGTGTTTAAGTATTACGCCTACACATTGACTGGAAAAATAATTAGGAAAAATATCAACTTTGACAGATTTTGATATTTACATGTTTTGGACATTCTGGTGGAGTTAGTAGTACTCACATACCTGAGGTGGTTTACCTGTATATAGTGTTGGGACATACCTGGACACCTGGCCAGTGAACACTACTTTGTATAACTCTGTATACTGGAGGACACATATTTCTTACAAAATGTCATCAGGAAAATAACCTCATATGTAAAACCTGCAACAGCAGCACGAGGTGACTCAAGTGCAAGAACGACGAGGAGTACCTCAAATGTAGAAGGAGTGGAAAATAGTGGAATGACAGAATTACGACAGGAGTTGACAGAGATAAAAGACACATTGTGCTCTATACTAAGTAGGAAAGACATCAAAGACCTGGTCACAGAAATTGTTACATCTATTTTGGCTACCATTAAGAATGACATGTCCACACAAATTGAGGAGGAGGTATCACGGAAAATAGCTATGATGAGACAGGAGCTTGACTCGATGAACTTGCATAATCATAGACTACAGGAGTCAGTTCAATGTAAAGAAAAGAAAATCACAGAATTAGAAAATGGGATGGATGAGATGAAGAAGGAAATGGTAGACACACAGAGGGATGTCGCACATAACAGAGATCTGTGCATGGAGGGACTAAGAATGGCAAACTACAATGAACAATATAGTCGACGAAACAACATTAAGGTATTTGGCATGAAGGAACTGGGGGAGGAGGCAGAAAGAAAGAGAGACCTACCGCAGGACTTCTGTGATATTGTAAATAAAAAGGAGGGCATCAACATCAGTCCACAAGACATTTTAGCTGCACACAGAGTACCCAAAAAATCACTGGATGGGCCGAGGCCGATTATTGTGAAATTCCTGAGGAAAAATGTACGAAGGCAGGTGATGACGAAGCGAAAGGAGCTAAATGTGAGGTGTACAGACGATGTGGCAAGTAGGAATGTGGGACTTATAAAGAGACTAGAAAAAAACCAGAGACGTAGAGAAATCCTGGTACTTTAATGGTAGTGTGTTTGCCAAGGTCGGAAACCTGACAAGGAAAGTGAATCTTTTTGACAATGTTCATGAAGTGTTTGTGGACAAAACAGGAAATGGACAAAATAAAAGGTAAACATTTCACCTTATATTGCTACAGGGCAAAAGAAAAAACCAAAAACATTGATCTCTGACATATACCATACTAATTTAGCATAATATTCCATTATGTTGATTGAATTTCTTGATTGATATACTATTGCTGCATTTATATGTGCTTCATAAGCAAGCAAACTGCTGTGGTACAAATATAACATGTACTATGCGCATAATATAAACTTGGTCATTTTTGGATAGAATGCTTGCATGTACCTGTGCTTACACTTTTTGGTATCTGTATGTGTGTGTGTGTGTTTGAGAGTGCTCGCATACCAGTGCATGTACTTCATTATTAAAAATATTTTCAAATATCTGAAAGTAAATCCCCAGTCTTCCATGTTAGATAATAATAATTTTTCATTAAAAATCAGCCATTAATAAATAAGATATGGCAGTGTAGATATCTATGTACACACCTGAAATATGACAAATAGGAAAGAAATGTGGTGTATGGAATGAAGGGTGTGTACAAAAAATAAAAAAATGAACCTAATAAAACTCAGGTACACTAAGTCGTTTGGTTTGTGATTATGCTGATACTCAGATTTGAGAATATAATGTATTATTATAGTCATTGCATTTTCAACCATATTCTTATTTATTTTGAGATATCTACAATGGAGAAGTGGAATCATAGTTGTTCATTTGTATACATGGCTGCTCATGTGCACACGTACATGTGTACACAAAGCTATATACATGTAGTGTACATGTGCTACATGCACACCTGTATTTGTTTACGGACATGTTTACATGAGTGAACTATATACCTATGTATAGTGTTAGAAGAATAATGGTTGATTACTAACAACACGTGTATATATGTATATAAATGCTTGTTTGTATGTGTGTGTCTGTATGCATGTGTACATGTACAAATGTTATATGTACACCTGTATTACCGGTAGTTCGGTATATGGAATGGCTGGACTTGTGTCAATAGGTCAAATGTAAAAAGAGCAAGAGTACATGGCTAATAGGTAATTATACACATACTATGTACACCTGTAATGTATCTGCGGATGTAGGTGTATGTACACATGTGTATATATATGTAGCCTGATCTTTGTAATTACTTGTAGATATAAACTGAAAAAGCGTACGTGTCAATTAACTTTTACCAGATAACTGTCTAAAAGGTATTACACACATGTACAATATTGTCATGTATATGTAACAATGTATTTAATTATTCTTATAATAAAAATTAATTGAGCTTAGTGTAATATATACAATTGTTGTCAGAGCACCACACATGTTCTATCCCATGAGTAGGAATATGTGTGTTGCCAATATGCTATTTTTTCTCGCATC